CTCACAACGATTGTCAGGGCGATTTTTTTAATTAAATATATCTGTTATATGAATTGGTGATGAGCTTCTGTTTTATACAAAAGCACAATCCGAATTAGTTTCTTTATACATAAAATATGCAAAGTCTGTGCGTGGAAACTCTTTTTTCCGTAAAATCGCGTAAAATATACGGTTGTGACTTACAATCCTCTTTATGTATTATAATATGTTCATACTTCACTTTCATTCTGTTTACGACCAAAAACTGTCGAGAATGTTTATTCCGATACCTTAACCAGCTGGTTTTTGATTGTTTCGTTTGCTTCTCGTCACTGAAACAGCTAGCAACTTCTTCATTCTTCTCTATTTTGAACCTCTCTCATCCACATAATGCTATACAGCTATTCAAGCGGATTCTTCCGCGCACTGTTCTGCGTTCTTTTAACGCTGTGCGGCTTACCATACAATAATCCCGAGATATATAATCTTGGCACTGATATTTTTCCAACGTATATTTTCCTCAGGAAACAAGCTGGAAAAATCATAAATTTCTCACATTTCTGCTTGACCTCTAAGGAAGCGGTTGGGGAAAGAAGAAGCCAAAGTTGTGTGCTTTTGTGTCTTAGTTGCTGCTTTGTTTATGATCCTCTTTCACAGCTTGTGCCATTTATTGTGCTTTCTGGACCGGGAGGGGCATCGACTGGCCGAAGGTCAGATAATTGCGGCTTACTGCTCGCTGTCACAACGTTGCTTAGCCTCAACGGCTGTCGAGGATGAATGGATGGCTGGACGTCGGACGGGCGTCGCCGATCGACCCCGCAAGTCTGTTGTTGGGTTTGCACCACCCTCACCCTCACCCGTCAGCACATAAATTTTGCCTCATAAATTATGCTGCTTGAAGTGAAACATTGCCCCATGTGACACATCTCACATCACCACCAACAAAATATGATGTTCGTCCGGAAACTGCGGAGTAGCAGCAAGTTCCGGTGATTTTTTGGTCATATGTCTCTGAAAGTTTTATCGGTCGGTTGGTAATAATCCTCGTAAACAGCTTGTAAATTTCAGTAATCCTGGAAACATGCGCTGTTTGTTTGGTATTTGTATTCAGAAGCATCGAAAGTAGCAATGGGAGAACCGTATCCATTATTGTCTGGATGGGAGAAAAAAATGCGTTGAGTAAAAAAAAAATAGTGAATCAGCGATTCGAAACTCTTTTTTCCCTTATTTTTCATGAAATCTCGTCAGAAATTTTAGAGATGCTTACAACAGTCCTAAAAATCATGAAATCGATCGTAAGAAATCACTTACTGGAAAAGAAATACAGGAAAAAAGCAACATCCTGGTCAAAAGTACCAA